TAGCCGGGTCTCCTGTGAAATTTCTGTCACCACCTGAGTGGATGCACTGACAGCAACCACACATGGTGCCGAGGTGCTACTGAGCACCTGGTTTGAAAGCAAGAGGTGCACACAAGTGGGGAGAGGGGAAGGGTTCGATTTCAGGACTGCTCAAGTGTATTTGCAAGGCTGGTGACTAAAAGTGGTATTTGCCTGAAGGACAGCAAAGAGGGGGGTGCTGAATGCCCTGCCATCTCCACGAGCCCTGCAGCTCCCCTGAGGACTCTCTGGGACAAGTGTGTCACAAGCAGTGTGGCACTCCAGAACACATCCCCAGGACACACTAGCCCCAGGACGTGGCAACATGACAGCCATAGGTGAGTTCCCTTTGTTGGAGGCTTCAGCCCCTCCAACCATGTCCCAAAGGGGACAGTGGGGAAGAAGTAATGTTAGGTTTCTGAAATGTGGGTTCTCAACTTGCCTTCACACAAGTGGACATTCCCAGGGGCATCCACCCATGAGCAGGCTGATGCCAGCCCACCCCCTTGCATCCAGATCTTTCAGACGTGAATAAAACTTTACAGGACAGAGGGAGGTGCTGGGCGCTACCAGCAGACTGCCTTGATGTCCTGGGTGGATGGGCTGGGGGTCTGCAGTGACTGTCACTCTACCCAGAGGCACAGCCTGGCCCCAGCCTGCTGGTGCCTGCTAATTTGGGGGAATTTGCTACCAGAACCCAAGCAAGAGGACTCAGAGGGCACCAAGTCAGTGGGGCTGGAGCAGCAGCACAGATCATAGCACACAGTTCTCCATGACAACAGGGTTACACCTGGTGTCTGGGTAAGGTAGAAGAGCACAGCTGATCCCCTCTAGCCACAGCACCTACCTTCTCCTGCCCTATGGATACCACCACATTTGTGCCCAGCCTCCATGAAACATGTAACTTTGCTCCTTAGGAAGCTGCCATTTGAACTTTCCAGCTCCTGCATGCAGCTGAACCTGGTGATTTCCGAACACTCTCTGCCACCCACGTGGGTGCACTTGGACCCAAACTTCATGGACTGTCACAGGTCCAAATCCACCTCTGTGTGCACAAGATGAGGCCATATGCAACATCCCCTCAAGCTGTCCCTCTCAAAACTCATCCACTGGTTCACATTCGCATCACACTTGGCAACACAAAGCCCAGATAACTTTCTCTTCTCATTGTAGCAACCATAGCCTCCACTGACTTGGTGCTTCTGCTGAGAGATGATGTCTTTGTCGACTTTTTCAACACGTTCCTGAATCTTCCCGTAAGTCCACTCTGCACTATAAATCCCAGGACCTTTCTGAGCATTTCTCAGGTGAACTTTCAGCTTCTGTGATGTTAGATGTCCCAGGAAAAATTGTAATACACCACACTCGGGCTGAAAAGCGAGGGAAATCTGAGGACATCAGTCTGGAGATAGAGGTCCAAAAGGGAAGATGATACCTTTCTTGGTAGTGAAGACTAACTAGAACAGGTGGCCTCTGGGCTCCCCTGTCACCCCTCACCTCTTTCAGCTCTTCCCTTTCCTTTTGATACAGGTTTTTGGCCAGACACCCATTTACATCAGCAGTATGGGCCGGTGGGACCTCTGGCCAGAGCTGCCGAGCCACCTGGTGAGAAAATGCTCCTTGTGAGGAGGGAGGAGGGTGAGAATGAGGGAGGAAAGGCACTGGGCAGGGGAGGGAAGGAGCCTGTTTCTCTAAGGCCACTCTCTGGCTCTCCTGTTCGCAGCTGGGGGATTATTTCAAATCCAGGAGTCATTTTGCTTTTAAGCCCTGGGAGGAGCACAAGCCATTTAAAGTCCTGGTGCAGCTTACGGGGTCCATCCAGCCCTCAGTAAACACCGAGAGCTGCAGTTAAGGAGAGCATGTGGTAGCAGAGGAGGAGGAGGAGGACACAAGCATCAGCGCCTCGTGTCCCTTACTCCTCCTGAGCTCACCCAGGAGTGAAGTCCTGTTGATCTCCAGGCTGGCTCAGCCCTCCCTACAGCCATCCCCCTTCCCCACAGCCACGAGCGCAGCTTGGGGTGCTCAGGTCCCGCAGCACCAAGGAACCCGCTGCTCCCGGGGCTCGGGTCCCACAGCACCAGGGACCCTGTTGCTCCCGGGGCTCGGGTCCCACAGCACCAGGGACCCTGTTGCTCCTGGGGCTCCGGCAAGCTGCTGTGCCTTCCTGCCTGGGCTCCAGGAGAGCAGGCAGGCTGCGAGGAGAGGCAGCTGCGCATCAGCAGGTCTCCCAGGTTTGCAGGCAGAGCTCGCAGAGATGCGGGCAGGGGCCGTAGCTCCAGTATCACCCTTCTTCCTCGGCGCAGAGATGGCTTCCATCCCCGTCTCGCAACGCGGCACCTTCCCCACTTCCTTCCCCCGTGGCCGGGTCCCGTTACTCCACCTAATCCTCAGGCACGCGACG